GGGCTGGTGGCATTATCAGATCAGTCGGTCCCCTTCCCCCTTCCCCCCTTTCCTCTGCCGCCGCCATTGTTCCAATCCGCAGCGGGCGCTGCGACTGCCGCCCCGCGTGCTGCCCGCGCGGTGGTTGTGTTCGCTCCAGTCCAGTGTTGTGCTTTTGCGGGGCTGAGCTGCAGGGGTGTGCGCGTGTGTTCTCGCGCGTGTGTGTGTGTGTGTGTTTTCTGACGCGAACGATGTGTGTGACTGCGAGTGTGTGTATGATAGAGAGAGGAGAGAGAGAGAGAGAGGAGAGAGAGAGAGAGAGATCGAAATAACTGAATGGCTCGCTTTCTACTAACGGCGTGACGTGACACACTGTATGTTGTCACGGCCTTTTGTTCTAGGGGGAATGTTGCGTTAAGGGCAGTGGCACACACGGGGGGATGAGTCGCAAATTTTATTTTGTTTTCTTGAAGAAACTTTCCTCTTAACTCGGTATGCTATGTGCTCACGGAGTTTTGTGGGGGTGACCTCCATCAGAGCATGTGGGTTCGGCGTGGAGGGCACCGTGTGGGCTGCATACAAGAAGTTTCGTAGAGCAGGTTGTCCGCCAAGAACCAGACCAAACCTAACCAGTGCTGTCCCCCATTTAGAGTTTAATTGGTTTGAATTCCCGGTCGTGAATTCCCACTCACCGAGGGATAGTTCAAGTTCACCCTTTTTAATTCGGGAGCCAGACGTGTATTTGTCAATATTTATCCACGAACCCCCCCCCCCCCCCCAACTCGTGTACACCGCACCCCAGTCTCGGCCAACGCAGTGCACCACCGCTCTCCTATGACTCTTGAGCAGACTCGGGTTTAATAGAGCCTCTCCTGCTCTCTTGCGCCCCCCCCCCCCACCGAAGAAATATTCCGTAATATCCCGGGCCGGCGCGCTGCTGCTGGATCCGCTGGCTCCTCTCTCCTGGTGGCGGGCGGGTGGGCGCCGCGGCGGCGTCTCAGCGTCGGATTAAGCCATAAATGTTTCCCACTTTCACTGCTGCCGAGCCAAAGTTTGAGCGCGGCGAGCCTCGGGCCCGTCGCAGCGGCCGCACCGCTTTACCTTTCACCCCCCCCCCCCCTGCGCGCCCCAAACAAGCTTAATATGTGCTCGTTTACATACACATCGTTTCGCCAGGGAGAGAAGGGGCGGTGGATGACGAAAGTACCGTCGCTGGCCGCGGGCTCAGCAGAGCGTGCTGGTGCGCGCGCGCGCGCAGGGAAAGAGAGAGAGCTGCCCTCTGAACGGAACGGCGAGCACTACACATTCAGGTGCATGGAATGTGTACCGTGGCGAGAGGTCCGGCCGGCGCAGGGGAGCGGTGCACGGCCCGTCGCCTACATAGAGGGGCTGTGCCACACAGATTATTCCTATCTCTTATGCGGCTCTCTAGCGATTGCACTTCCCTCTGTCTGTTCGGCCCGCGCAACCTTTGAGTGAGGTGGTGTCGAGTCGTGCTCGAAATGAGTGAGACAATTTTGCCTCGCTCAATCAGAGCGATGACTATAAGGCTTACCCTATTTGAGTCATATGCACCGAATTCTCACTCTAAAGGAGTAAAATTTCCCTGACCTCGCCCAATTGCAGTGAGGAACCTCACTCTGATTGCGTGAGGACCGCAAATTATGACTCAAATTGAGTGAGAGTCAGATATCTCGCTCTCAGGAGAGTAAGATTTTTTGTGTCACTGATCTCGCTCTCCTGAGAGTAAGATCAGTGACTCTAGCATTGTCAGGCCGGCGGGACCCCAATCGGGACAGGTCTCGTCTCGTCCCCCGTACGAGGAGTTGACTTCGACATCCCTGGCCTGCCTGGTCGGTAAGGGGACCCACCGACACCCGCCGTATGGCTCGCATCCATACCCTCTACTTACCGTTCTAATGGAAATAAAATTTGAACCCTAAAAAACATTTAAAAAGAGGT